TACTTTCTATCTTTTCCTTCCAACAGATATGCCGAAATGTCTGTAGAGATGCCTAAGTCCTACTACTTGTTAAGTCTCAAGATTTATGTGTGAATTCCTTTATGGTTGTACCAACCCTGTTTGTTTTAAAAGTATGTTTTTATTTAGTGTTCTTCAGCTATGCTCAATATCCAGCCACCACGTAGTAATTGTAACGTAAATAGTGAGTGTCATGACTCTCTTCAGAATTGTAACTTAATATTTTCCTACCAAAAATAAACGTTAGTTTGATTTTATTTAACCTGTTGTAATTATTGTATTTATTTCCTTGTACTGGACCTTAAACTAGAATGGGTTTTTGCTTAAACACAACGCATATTTGAAATTCAGAATTGTTTGCATATTTTGTTTTTATGTTACACTATGATAACTACTCTTATACAGTTTTGTGATTGATACAATATTGGTTGAAATGTTATGTTATGTGACATATACACACAGTTACCTACCCCATAATCTAGTATGAACTTTTAAAATAGTTATTTCACAGAAATGATGTTCAGTAGTAAATATTACATATGAATCTTCTCTTATAATGTTCTTATATAACACTCTCGTAAGCGTACAGAGGAAACACATTAAGATATCGCATACTCAAACAAGCATTAACACAATTTGGGAAAGCAGAAAGACTACTGACACCTAACTGAGGAAGGGCATATGTAAAGAATAATTTAAAAAAAAATCTAATGTAAATTGGCATAATACAGGAAAAAATCTGCTCCTTATTCTCCTCAACAAAATGAAGTTACTCTGAAAGGAAGAATTGTACATTAATAAAGATGACTCGAACGGTGCTGGCTAGAGTGAATATCAAAACAAGTATTGGGGTGCATGTGAATTAAATGCAGACTACCTGCAAAGTAGCTTGTCTATGAAGAATTTAAAGTTACTCTTTATGAGAAACACCACAAAAGGAAGCAATAGTTAGCATACATACAAGTACTTAATATTCCGGCATATATGCATGTATCAGATACAAAGAGGCAAAAGTGGATGATGCTTCTGTGAAAAAGGAACATATTTTATCGTTTGCTGAATACTGATACCAATACTGCAGTAGTCAGTCGGAATGTGACGATTTAAACAGAAGATCCATGCCTTAAAGCAGAAGTAAATGATACTGAAGTTTTAACTTGTTGTGGACTAAAGTTTTCAGTAACGGTATCGGTTACGAATTAGTTTATTATTAAACATAACACCTATTTTCAATAAATAGTTAAAAATACGTTATTTACTTACAAGTGATTGTATTTGTCCGATCCACAGTTTTCGGCAAAAATAATCAAGCTTAATTTTGTTAAGAGTCTGTAGTGACTGTTCTGGCAGAAGTTTAGGTTATATGGATTATGATAAAGCACATAAAAGCTATCTGTCTAAGGAGAAAGATACTTTTACGGAGGACTTCCTTAGGGTGTTGGTGTATTTAATTATGGCAAAGCACATGAGTGCTATCTGCATAAAGGGAGGGATGCCTTCGTGGAGGACTTTCTAAGGGAAACTGGCTCGTATACACGTTGCACATGGGGAAAACCATGAAAACAACTTCCTTAGGGAAATTGGCTGGTATTCACATTACAACTAGAAAAACAACGAAAAGGTCTACCCAGCCCGCCCGTTTACCTAGATTTCTGGGTAGATTTTCGTCTGGCTTAAACTAAATATATAATGTTGAACTAAAATCAAATATAGTGATATTAGTATAACGACTCGCAGGATAAAATAACGCGTAGGAAACGCTATGATTTATAGGAAAACAGCGGAGCAAGCCTAATAGCAAGAAGCACTCAACGCCACCGAATCAAACCGCTATTAAATCACGGTAATAACATGTCCTCAAGTACGCAGAAAACGTTCTAAAATCAAATTGCGAAACCTTCGCTTATATAAGCGCTTCTTTCTCCCTCAATATGAATAAACGCTCGCTATCTCACTTACATTCTGACAGGAAAAGTGACGCAAAAGTTCTTTAATACTAGAACCGCGGAAGTTTCGGTATACCTTAAAACTGCGGACTGGGTCAAATAGACTCCAATTAATGAAAACCCGTGTTGTTATGCTAAACGTACGCTGTAATTATTTGGCAATGACATTTATTCATTTCTAACATTAAATTGTTATAATAAGTGTTAAAAATAATAAGATATTACAATATGGAATATTGTATACAGTTAGTAAAATATATAGACAACTTTAATAGAAATATTTAGTTTCTTACCAAATTTCGTAAGTTCTCTGAATCTATCTCTCGCCACAGTATCGCTGAAAAAAGTGGACCCTAAACAACAGACCACAGACTATCAAGCTCTAGACTACTTGCACCGTATATACCTCGAGCATACAAAATTGATCGAAAAGCATCTAGTTCGTCTAAAGTTGTTGACCATTCATTTTTCCCAGTTGCCGGTGAGCTTCTTCCTCTGTACAATTTTTGATATGACGAAGCATAGGCTCAACTATAAGTAGCCTCTATGAACTAATTGCATAGCCATTTCCAGTATTTCACTTTGCATAACTGGTTGGGTCACTCTTTTCTTTGAAAACATTATGTTCAGCAGTTTTTCCACGCATACAACTTCCAGAGGGGATGCTTTCCCAACGCGTTCCATCATTTGTAACAAAAGTTCCAGAGTTCATTTCATCTGGATTTGAATCTGATAACTTTTTACGTTTATTTACACAGTTTTTCTTCCCAGAAGTGGTTTTTCTGCTGGTACACTGTACAGGAAAATTAGTACGGCATCTTCATCCGAAGAAATATTTCCTTCATCTGGAGGCACATATTCATCATCGCTGACAACAATTTCTTCAGCATTATCGTTTTCGAATTCATTTTCAGATAATTGTCGCATATATTCGAGAGCCTCACTAACTGTTGATTTACGCATATTTCTTCCAGCCACTTTCACGTAAAATCAATTTTATCTCCGCGTGTAAACAAGGTGGCAAAAATCGAACAGACTAGTACACTCAAACTACCTCCAAGGGAATGAGAAAACCAGTTGTGCAGTCATAAAGAACCCAGATGTGCGCCCGTTAGACTACCTCATTGGCTATAGTACTATTGCACCACATTCCATTCAATAGGACAAACAAAAAACATCGGAGAGAAAACATTCCTTGAATACGCTAACCAGAGGCATTTTTCCCAAACGGAATGATAACGGGAGGGCAGGGGAAGGGATCTGCAACACTGGCTACTATTACTACAATGAAATTCTCAGCTGCTTTCTGTTATCAGTAACAATCTACTGACCTTGAAGTATTGTTCTGCTTACATCTGGGAAATGGAAAGAGGACTGAAAAAGTTTTTCCCATTCTAAGAAACGCTGAATTGCAAATTATGTACTTGTAATTATAATGGGGTCAAAATGACCCATTCCGCGATTTTAGGTATAAGTATTAAAAACAAAACAAAACAAAATGATAAGTATTTAACCTATCATACTTTCACAGATTATTATTGGTATAAAAATAGGAAAAGTCAAGAAATTCCGTTAGTAACTTTTTGAAAAAATCGGAAACAAATTTGCTTTTGGGTCAAAATGACCCCATCCGTGGTTCTAGTGTTAACTTAATATTAACTATTAGTTAAAAACGTAAAAAGATTAATCCTCGCAATGCACTTACCCGAACTAGTTTTCTATAGCTTTAGGTAGAAATAAATAAAACATAATATTATTAAAAATAAATGTCGAGATGACGGTTGCCGGCAGAAAAGTGGAATTTTTTTTCCATCCGAGACCATTCGGCATGATTATTGAGTGAAAGTCAATTTCCAGTAATAATATTCACTATGAAATACGTCTTAATTAAACATAACCCACATTTTCAGCAAATTCTTAAAATAAGTTATTATTTTACAAGTGGACGCACCTGCTTGAACTATCTTCCATCGGCTCAGGTAAAAATAAATAAGCATACTTTTATTAAGAAGGCGCGGATAGAAAAATAATGCCATTTTTCTGCCGGTAACTGCGAAAAATATCATCCTTTTTTCTATCCGATACCATACTGCTTAAATAATATGGGAATTACAACTTACGGTATTAACTATGAATTAGGGCTTTATTAAATAGTAAATGTATTTGCAGTAAATAATTAAGAGAAATTTATGTGAACTGGTTATGAAAGACATATTTCTGATAAAAATAAATACGTGTATATTAAGCGAAATTATGAACTGATTATTTGTTTAATTGAACGTGGCAAAGCATCTAAGGGTAAGGACGTTTTCGTGGAGGTCTGTCTAAGAAAGACTGGCTTATGTCCATGGAAGAAAAGCCACAAAGATAACCCTACACCCAGACAGTTGGTCGGAATTCGAAACAGAATCGATTTATCCTCATTAGAAAAAGTCAAATCTACTCGGTTTCTGAAAACCAAAAAATATAATTGCTTTTCCTGTTACACTGTAATTCTAAACGCCATCACGTTATAAATGCCATTATAACTCCATTAATTATGGCTTTAACTTTAAAAACTACAATGAATTACCATCTTTGTTCAATCCATAAAAGGTAGCTTTAGTTTTAAAGAAAAATTTAAGATTTTAAGCTTTGCCGAATGATAAAATTCTGGGAAACGTTTAACGCGAGAGCACATGAAAGTTAAATTAACATCCAATATATCCCCGCACTGGCAGCCCTTCCCAAAAGTTACTTCCGGATTATATCCGTTCACCTCATCAGTGGATTTCCGAGGCATGATTCTATATCATGCCTCGATGTATATGTAATATGTATATGTATCTATATGTAATATGTTAACAAGATAATAAGTTTTGTTAAACCATTTATCATCAAATCTGATACTATTAATGCAAACGACTTGAGACTAGCGGTCTACATTTTACATTTCAGTTAAAGAATAGATTTTTTACTGAGAGTGAAAAGGGCAGTTTATGATATCTATTAGTATATCCTGAAATTGAAATTATTAAACAACTAAAATAGACCTACCTGGGACAGATATCACACCCTTGTTGCATGAAAGCACCAAGAGAGAACCAAAGGCTGTTGTAGAGCGAAAAGTCATTTGCAACTGAAGGTCCAATGAAGGAATCTTCATAGCGCCATTCATGAGGAGAAAAGCGACTGACTAAGAAAAGAACAACAGAAACTCCGACGTATGCGAAGATAATGCACATCCATATTTCCTTGGAGAGTGGGTTCATGAAGGAAAACACCCCAGGCTTCTTCTTCATAGGTTTCTTTATCATGATGCTGATACCCAGAGACATGAAAGGCTTCGTAAAATCAATGACTCGTTCTCTTGCCGAGGTTATTGTAAGAGGAGCGATAGCCATGTCTGCTTGCTGCGAAAGAAAACAATACTTTTTTTTCATAGCAAAATCATGCAAAACTCTCTAAGCGATTGCAATGGTTTAGAAATAAAGATTTGGCTTGAGCTTGCAGATAGAAACAAATTATAATGCAATAATTTACTAAAATGGTTTTTCCTTAATATGATAGGTATATTATTCCGTTTTTAACAATGTTTAGTTTTTTGACACTGTAACACTGAGCTGTTTAGCTCAGTGAAATACTACTTATTTACATAAATAAATTAATAAGTTGTATTCATAATTTTACCATTTGCTACAGCTTGAATATTTTAAAAATGTAAGTAGATTTTTTAATAAAGATGAGGTACTTCAGCACCCTCTTTCGTTTTAGACGTTTTAGATATTTTTGCATTTATGGAAATTGTCTTGCTTTGCTGGACAATATGGGATTAGTAACACCACCCCCAACAGACTTTTTTAATTATTTAATTAGCGTTATGTCAAGTATTTTATTTCAGTTTTGGAATAAAATATGAGGAACCATTATGGAATATTACTAATATTCAGAAGCTAAGAAGCCCTCTTTGACTCGAAATATTTGAAGAAAGTTTTTTGTAAGTCCCCAAACTCTAAGCGCGGAACTACTGCGCTGAAACGTTTTACCTCACTAAGCTGCTTTAAGGTTTTGCTAAAGTGCTCCATAGTGGACACTTTCATGTATCTCGAAACCAAAGCTGTTAATCTGTAGATCCAGTATTATAAAAAATATCTGAACACATGCTATGAGGTTGCTTGTATATAGGCTTTCATTACGTTAATGAGTTGTTTGATAATTATATGAATTTCTTATCTTGCAGTGACCGTGAATGTGGTAGTATGTGCTTTAAATTCTGATTTTTTGAAATACTTCATTCACGAACTTGCCTGTATAGATACTAATTTTTCGTTTATTGTATCATGATGAATCTGCGAATTTATATCCTTTTAAGTTTCCTAACATCTTTCAAAAACTAGCAATATTTTCTGATAAAGCTAGAGTTTGACATATATCAGTGAAATAAAAATTAATTTTACTAATATAACGGCAGCATAAATTAGTAAATTAATACTACTGTAATAGTAGTAAATACTTTTCTTGTACTTGTGGATAACATTAGTGCCGTTCCCACCTCAGCAACGTGGCGTAATTTAAAGCAATTATTCAAAACCAGAACAAAGATTACATAAGTTCAAGAGAATATTAATTCGAAGTTCTCATGCGTTAGTGGGCTGTAGAAAGCCGTAAATTTAGCTTTACAGTAGGCTTAGTATTTCATACTCTTTTAATAGTAATGGAATATGAAAGTTAAAGTTTCTCTTTTTATTTTCATAATTATTATGTCTTTCTGGTTAGTAAACTCTGTATTCTGAGAAACAATCTAGGGAATTTTAGGTTTGTATCTAGCAGCTAGTGTTAAAGTCCTGCAGAATTTCCTGCACCGAAACAGAGTTATCACTTTACTTCCAAGTAAATAACAAAGCTTTAAGAAGATTAAAACGATCTCTTTTATTTAACTCTTCAATGAACAGAAAGGCCCTGCTTTTGCGACAGACGAACTTCCGCTATTTGCGAACATTTAAACTAGCAGAAGATAAATTCAAATCTACGTAACGTAATTTGAGACTACCACAAAAAATAGACTACTTAAGCTGGTTCAAGATAATTACGTCACATATTTTAAAAGTCGGCTAGGAAGATGATAAAACCAGAAATAAACTTAGAGCTGGCGATAGTAATTAATAGAAAAGGCAGTGGAGGAGAGGAATAAGCATAGGAGATACCAGGACTTTACCCCATATGGTGAGACGGTGTACTGCTACTGATCCAGTGAAGCATCCTACAAAAGTTCCGTGCAAATGTTTCAGAACATTTTCATACAGTTTTATTTAGAAGAATTTTTATACTAATATAAAGATATTTTCACAACAGTTTGTAAGATTCCACGCCCTTTGTCTAAGATGAAACGTCAAGGAATCTAGTGAATTATGTAGCGACTTATCTCTGAGTTCAAACAACTAAAGACGTAGACTCGAAAAGGATTAGCATCCCCTTTTATTCACTCAAATAAAAATAACAGTCGGCCCCTTCTCGGGCTTATAGGTAGTCTCTACTCGGGCTCTACTCTACTCATAAAAAAAATAAGAAACTATAATTAACTAAAGTAGACTTAGCCGAAGCTAGACACAATTATCTAACGTAGTTGTCCCTTAAATTAAACTAGCCGATGGATATCCAAAGGAACGTAATATTTGGCCGTCCCTAACAGCTTCAAGCGTGACTTAGTCAGAAGGCGAAGATGCGTCACTAAAGACTCCTGGTACTTCCTGTCGAAGTTTATGAAAATTATATCACCAGTTCTATTCTTTTTCGGCGAAATTTGTCGGCTTGGAATTCGGGTTCTCAGAGTTTCCTTATCTTGGGCAGACCCGCCTTGAATTCCTCTGCCAAGCGATGCACCACATGTGCTGTTTAGAATATTCTGCACCTCTTATTGCAGAGATCTCTAGTATGTAGTTATCCTACGAGGGATTACGTCTGTGGGTGGAATTTGTAGCCGTCAGGCTTCCACCTACGTTAGACTTGAACCTCGAGCGAGGCTAGCGATTTTAGGTCAATAATTTTTCAATGGATGGGTTTTTGATCTCTCGCCTTAGCCTTGAGATGCAGCACTACAGTTAAAGCGATGTGCCCCAACTTCTGGAAACCGGCAAAGACCCTTTCCCAGACGATTCTACCTTGCACCCCTTTTCCCTTTTAGATTGCCGTAATTGGGCGACCATTCCATCATCACTCATCGCCAATTTCAAGGACCTCGCCATTGAAGAAAAAGCATCTGCAGCGTGGTTCGAGAGCTTCGGGGAGAAGACAGAGAACTACGTTAGAACCAGCAAGCTGAGAAGAAATTCCTGAGTTATTATCCTCACAGGTAACGGCCTATGGCATTGCTGTCCTAGTGAGAATGGGAGCCTGACCTCGTCCTAGATTCCCGCCCTATACTGATCGAATGAATGCGTACCATTTTCTTTTATTTTTCTAGACAATGAGGTGTACGGGAAGCCACGCGGGAAGAAAGGTGATTCCCGGCAGAAGTATTGTAATCTCAGAACCTAGCATTGATTGTTAAAAATATAGGAAACTTGTGGGGCCCCTCCATGTGACGAAAATTATATTTAAATTTTAAAGCTATGTTTTGATATGTTTTTGTTTCTTTAGAAATGTTGATGACCAGCCACCACAAATTTACCTAAAATGTTCTACGTACCACAAAATTTGTCTCTAACAATAAACCTTGGATGTTATTCTCTTACATACTTTTTTGTTTAATTTTAATTAATTTTAAGACACTGGACCTCTTAAACTACTGAACGGGTTTTAATTGTCGCTCACAACGCAATATTTAAGTTCTGGGAAAATTTTGAATTGCTTTATATTGATCGTGCACACCTTGATCAACGAATATTTATTCTCGCATGTTACACAATAGCCAATATTCATGAATTGTTTACACCTTGATTTTGACGCCTTACAATTTCTCATGTAATTCCATAATGTTTATTGCTTATGTTTTATAATTAACTGTGGGATTGAATGCTGAAAATTTTATGCTGAACAACGTGTGTGGTATCTACTTGAAGCAGCGTGGAAAGGGTTGTCCGTTTCTGTCATCCAAGCCTAGTTCAACTCCATACCTCAAGTGGTAAGGGCAGTTTTAGCTGTTGGGGCTAGCAGATGTTTCTAATAGTTTCGCAATCCCCAGCCTGCTTACAAATTTGAACATCATTTTTTCTTCATGCGATACTGTATACACACAATAAGTATCTTTTTTATATTTGCTCTCCTTCATGGTGTTGCAATTTCAATGGCCAGTAGTATATATTAAAAGCTTTCTTTCTTTAATTATTACCCTGTATATTGAGTTTAGTAATATCTCGCTACATATTTTGAAAATTAATATGTATGAAAAATATTTCTTTCTGTTAAGAAAATTAAGAGAATATTTATCTAATTATTTCTCCTTAGATTTTAAGAATGTGCTATTTCTACAATTTTAACGTGAGTATGGGCAAGAGTGGAGCTCTATGTATTTTAAAATATTAAACTTTATTATAAAAGTATTGCAAAACTCTTAATAGCTTTGATGATATTGAGTGTATTAGGATGAATCGTATATAGTGCGGAAGAGAAAAATTTTCTGTACAATCGTGTTATAAAACTTTTGTGTAATTTAAGAATATTATCCTACATTTCAGACTTAAGATGTCACTGACAGTTATAGTATAAACATACTTAAGTTATATTATGAAGAACAATGGTTTCCTTTGAATTGTATGCTTTCATAGTTAATATAAATAAATTACAAATTGAAACTTATTATACTCTCAGTATTATAGGAACAGAGTTATATAATTGGAAAGAGGATATATTATCTTATTTTTGCATAGTTTTCTAATATTATTAATTGACGCAGCATAACTTAGCATTGAAAAGAGAGAGCTCTGTTAAATTATATCCAAAGGGTTAGGATTTCAAAATTTAGGATTTGTTTGGCCGATTACTTGCAGGTTGTTGGTCGAATACTTTTTAAACTTCCTACAAGAGACCGCTCATTTTGAAAGTGTCAGAGAAACTAGTTTTGTATTTTTTTTTTCAAAATCGCGTTTTTTACGTAATTCGTATTTGAACACTCGAGAACTCATAAAAATATATTTTCAATAAATCGCAGCATCAGTTAGACTAAGGTTTCGTAACAGCAAGACGAAGCTACGAGGAGATTTGCTCTAACTATTCAAACCCTCAGCTTAAATACACAAACAACTAATTTGCACTGCGGTAACGCCTACTTTTAAGGAAGAAAAGGTCAAAGCATAATAACTAGTTAATTAACACAAAGTTTTATAAACTTAACAAGGTTATCAGATAAGAAGGAAAATTAATTATAAGTACTCTAAATTTATTAACTGCGTAAATAATTGAGTCCGTCTTGCTGTTC